GCAATCCTCGACACTCATGATTCCAATCGACGGTGATCCATCCCTACCAGCAACATATGTCCCTTGTCCCCCCCTCACTCTATCTTTGTCCTATTTCTCCCTCTTTCGTCATCTCTCCTGCTATTTTGCTATCCTTTCTGGTTGTTGCTTTGCAGTTAAGTTGAGATTTGTGTCTTGTACACGTCTTTGATGTATTGTTGAATTTTTTTTAATGAATGTCGATGTTTGATAAAAACATGAACAAGTTGATATATTAATGACTCGTTGAAGCCATGTGTGAAACTCATTGAAGCTAATTAATAAATGACTTGTAAAGAAGTATTTGGGTAATTTTATATGAAAAAAACAATTTAAAAGATATCTTTTAGTAATTTTACATTTCTTCTTCTCATATAAACAGAATAACTTAGAAATCACCCAGAGAAACGAAGATAACAAAGTGTTACTATTATGTTAAGATTTTTTTCTTGCACTAGACTTAAAGTGTACTTTAGATTAATAAAAATTTAAAATCCCATATGACATGTAAACTCTAATAAAAAGTAATTAACTAGTTTTCGGTTTAGTGATACTCTTTTGTAATCTAAATTCAAATTCGAATTGATGCTTTATCATAATTGTGGAAGTAAGTCACAATAATGCATAAGTCATCAAAATGCGACCACCACCGCCACCACCTACCTCACGAAGAAATTAAAAACAAAAGTCAGATTAAAATGACATCAGCATATCAAAATCAAACCCGAAAAGCTATTCAACTCGATTGAGATGAGTACCATAATTACAGTCTGGAACTTAGCGTACCAAATCACTGCCCCAAAAAGAGCCAGAGATCTTCTAACAACACAACCCAGGGTACAACGAGGGACTGTGTTTGCAACCTCGAAAAAAGTTGGGAATCAATTTCTCTCATTTTCCACTTCTTCTTCTTCCTCCTCTTGTTGCAGAGCCAGAAAGTAGAGAGAGAAAGCCACAATTTTTGGAGAGAGAAAGAGAGCGAGAAGAATGTCTTTAACGGGTGTGAAAATGTCCGAGGACGTTTGGTTGACATGTCTCACTCATGCATTGTCCACCGAGACCGAGGAGATCATGGGCCTCCTTCTTGGTGATATTGAGGTACACTCTCTGCCATTTCCATCTTCAAATTCTTTGTCTTCTACTTATGTTATGCATGTATTAGGTTTTCTTACTGTACGGGTGTTGAAATTGCTTGATCGGTTTGATGCTTGGAGTAAATGTAGAGCTGGAATGGTTTGGGTATTTTGGGTTGTTTTCTGAAACGGGGTTAGAAAGGTTAGGTTTAACGAGCTTAGTTGTTTTTTCTTTGAATTTTGGGTCAGTTTAGATTTCGAATTTGGCATATTAATGTTCCTTGCTAACTAGACTAGTTCTCGGGGTTTCCTCTAATTCGATTGGTACTCTAATAAGTTTACTCTGGGTTTCATAATTATTAAAAACCACTGAGTACATGTGTTCAAATGCAAATTGTTTGATATACTTACTTGAACTTGATTTTAGAATACTGTGCTTTGTCAGCGTTGTTATGTTCTCTTCTCTAATAACTATCATTCATTTGGTTATTCTTTTAATTTCTATTCAGCTAGAAAATTTGCTAAGTCTAGATGAAATTTGAAATTTTAGCTACATTATAAAATAGGGCTCTATTTGGGAAAGCTTATTCAGAGCATATGACAAACATTAGAACACTCATACAGAAATAGAACATTTACACAGAAATCAAAGGAAGCATTAGCCTTGTTTTTCTAGCAAATCAACATGCTAACTCATCTTTTATACCTGTGCATGATGTTCTTGCCTGCTCTTGGGATTTAAAGACTTGCAGTGATGCTTAAGATTGGTGTTGTTTTGTATTAGGCTAGTTGATTCAGTGTTCCAGTGCAAATTTCACATCCAGCACCATTTCTGGTTGCCAATTTCCAATATCTGATTGATAATGAGTTCAGACTCTATGGTTCTTTCAGTATGTTGCTGCAGGATCTTTGTTTTTGCACTCTAAGATCCCTTTCCTTGAAAAGCACTGTAATTCCATTCACTCTTGTCAGACCCAGGTGCATACAAGGAATCTAGACAAGCTTTAACAGTTTCTTGTTTCACCTGTTCTATTGGTTTTTTGGTGCTTCTTTTTTTATTAATATTTTTTTGGCTAGCGTTTTGATGGTTTGGTGCTTAAGTGGAAGTTCCCAGTGGCTTGGCCTAATAATTTGTTACTCATTAAGATGTGGAAGAGAAAAATAATTGCATGTTTGGCAGTCTTCTGAAAGTGAGAAGTTTTTATAATTTTTTTTCTTTTGTGAAGCCATTTGCTGAAGTGATGATATCTATATGATGGACAACTGAATTTGGTTATGATTTATACAATGATTTTATTATAATTTGGATTTATCCTCTTTGTCTGGCTCTTTGTTTATATCTTAATTTTATATAGTGTCTTATAGTCATAACATTTTCTTCCCCCAATGATGTTGGGAATTTCAGAACTCTGTAAATGGGGGTGTGACTGCACTAATTTGGGGAGCATCACCTCAAACACGATCTGATCGGAGGAAGGACCGTGTGGAGACTAATCCTGAGCAGTTGGCTGCTGCATCAGCCCAGGCCGAAATATCCTTAATGCTTTATTTTTTTATAAATATTTGAAAATTTATCTTTTTATGTTTTCATTACAAAAGGAAAAACCAAAAATGGGTTCTTGACATCCCTAATTAGGTTGTGCTGTACTTATTTAGTTTATTAGGATTTGTTTGTTTTTAACTTAGTTTTCAACACCGCCTCGGCTTTAAAATTGTGATATAAATTCATTAAAAAAAAAAACCTATTTTTGTTCAGTAATCTAAATCATGCCGTTCAAAAGAAAAAAAATATTCGTGAATGCCTCATGAGCTGTGCCTTTGAGTTTTAGGTGGGCTGGAAATTTGGGAATACATTCAGTTGGTTCAACATTTACATTCTTTAGTTATATAGCTATCATAGTTGTAGTGGCTCTTGGTATTTCCATGCACCACATCTGTTTTGCTTCTTTACTTTTGAGGATTTTTTTTATGATACTGTTTAATTAACTCTATAGCACAGAATGACAACGTCAACAGGAAGAACAACTAGGGTGATTGGGTGGTACCATTCACATCCTCATATTACGGTTCTTCCTTCCCATGTTGGTGAGTGTTATGTAATTACCCCTGCTTTCTGTCATTATCACGTTCATTCTTCAATTTCATGAGGTCGGGCTATTATAAGTAGAGGTTTGTTATATAACTTATCAGATTAATTGGGATTGTTATACTCATGAATCTGGGAGTTCTTCTTTAAAAAATATAAAAAATTACTTGGTAGAAACCTGGATACATTCATGGATCGTCAATCACCTCTTATATGGTGTATTTTTAGTTTGTAAGTTTCCAGGATTGATATGTATGAGTCTGCACATACTGTGCCAGAGGGAGAAAATGTAGGGCCTATAAAATGCTTTGACTGGATGGAAAGTTATGGTGTGATTTTGGGGCTGTGGAATTTTGTCTTGTTTTAACCTGGATTACGAAACACAAATAAATGGAATGTGAAGTTAGCAGCCAAGGTAGACAATAATTCAAGCTGTGATTGTTTATCAGGCTTTTGCATTAAATTTTACTTTTTGACATTTCTTATCAAATTAAAGACTGCCAAATCTTAGAAATCCATCCTTCAACTTCCTCTCTGTTTTCCATCTCAGAGTCCCCAAACATGTAACCAAATAACTGTAAGACCAGACAAAAAAGGAACAAAAAAAGTGTTAATAAAGGAGGAGACTTTACAGTTAGCCAGAGAGATTAAAGGACACCCCTTGTACATATGGAGCAAGCTAATGTTTCCCGTAGAGCAATCAAGGATTGTTTTTTTGTTGCCACTTACATTTTCAACTGTTAGATGGTAAAGATCGAAAAGTTGAAGATGCGTGTCAAAATATGGTTTTATCTGTGTCCCATGAGCATGATCGATATATATGTGTTTCAGTATGTATCATGCTGTTACTCAACAGTAATCCATTGATATACTTTAAGTATTTTATTCTTTCTAACATTTGGACCAGATGATATTGTTATTTGTTAGACATGCTATCATAATTAGTTGCTCGAGTTGATATTACAGCTGTGTTCTACTTTGTGCA